GTGTGTGTGTGTGTGTGTGTGTGTGTGAGAGAGAGAGAGAGAGAGAGAGAGAGAGAGAGAGAGAGAGAGAGAAGTTTGCTTTCATATAGTATTTAACTTTTTTCACACAAAGGAAAAGTTATCACTATAATATTACTTTCAGAGAACGTAAGAATTTTCTGCATGATGAACCCAGAGAGCAAAGCAAACACAATATGTAAAAAACAAAACTTGCACTAGGAAGGAAAAAAAATAGCAATTAAAGACATCAACAGATAGGCTGAAGAAGTGGATTAATTCATCAGGCCAGCAGTTAATTAACAGAGAAGCATCATCTTCATCAAATCATCTCAATACTTAGTTGTTCTTTATTTGCAGAAGGTACAGCCATCCCATTATCAGCAGCAGCTAGACAAAACTCAGGCTCCTTCTGTAATGAAGCTGTTGAGTTGTTAATTTAGAAGTGAAACAAACACACCCTTTCCTCTGGGTCTTTGGTTTATGGCTAAAAGGACCTTTCAGCTCTGCCATGTGGCACATACAGGCTGGGTGGGGCAAATGGCTTCAAGCAGAAGCAGACACTGGTTGCAACTAAATTAACGCCATTGTGTGGACTACATTATCAGTCTTCACTCCTTGAAGTGCATCCTGAATAGTTTTGAAAACTTACCTGGACATATCACAGCTCTCTGGTGATACAATGTTTGGGCTAGGTGAATGCTGAAGTGTCAAAGTCAATAGTTCAGCATGTACTTTGCATGAAGGAGGTCTCAAATTCATTGCTTGGCCAGTGGTACATCAGTGGGTGTATCTCTGTGCCAAAATTCAGAGCCTCACAACAAGCAGCCTTTCTTTCTTCTTACTTTAAAACATATTTCATAGAAATGAGCCAACCAGCTGGTCATGTACATGGTTGCAGATGTTGATTTTAGTTGTACATTAGTAAGATATTGTACGCAATAAGTACATAATATTATAAAAGAAAGCCTTTGTCCTTCAAGCTTGATGGACCTTGCCATATCAGACCCAGATCCTATCTGTTCTAGCATTCTATTGTCACAGAAGCCAAATAGCTAGTCCACAAATGTAAGGTTTCATTTATAGATCACTTCTTCTATATCTTCTATATCACTTCCTGATGTTCACCCTAGAGTGTGGATGCTTATTTAGTAAAAGCAACATTTCTTATGTACAGGAGGGAAGTATCAGCATGCTCAAGGAAAACTCTTAGGGAAAAAACCAACCAGGACAAAGGAAACTCTCCAAACCAGGGTAATGAGTGTGGATCTAGCTAAATAGCTAATTGGTGATGGAAAACCAGAGCATGGCAGAATTGGATTCCACACTGCAAGGTTCAGATGGCAAACTCATCCAAGAATGGATCTTTATATAAGCAAGGCAGCACCATCCGCACAAGAACGAGGTGTTAGAAGACTTGGTGGGAGGCCCAGGTTTGCAGAAGTACCAAAGAGGAGGAAGCTCCCCACCCACAGCGCAACACATTCGGATGGCTGTCTCACTGGAGAGAGAATAAAAAGAAGAGTGCAGGAAGAAGATCTGGGATGGAGTATTGTGGTGCATAGACAGCTGGAAGCCCAGACAGGAAGAACATTCCAAACTGGAACATTTTGTTGCATCTTCTGCTTCTTCAGTGGGTACCTGATAGTGGAAACTTCTGTCAAGAATTGGAATGCAGTTCCCACTTTCTTTATCAGCCTGAAAGATTGAACAATCCCAAAAAACCTATTCATGAAGGATCCAGGATACACATAAAATGTGTCAGGACAATTTATTTTCCATTCCAATTGATAAGAATTATACCCTTGCAGTAACCATGAAGTTAACAGGTCACTCATCAGTTCTGCAGACTGGATTAATCTATGTAAACCTCTGAAGAATTTAGTTTAATTACTTGCCAAGCCTGCAACAAGACATAAACCTACATATTGCATGTAGCATTACCAGTGGAACAAGTATTTGAATGCAAGGACTAGAATAATTTGACAGCTAATATAAAGCACCATAATTTATATTTAGTTATATTGGGAGAGTTGCTTTCTTTCTTCCCATTTTAAGCACTACATATAAATATTTGTTATGATTTTCAGACCTTGTTTAACCCAGTAAGTACCACATTTATCTCTGGTTTTAAAAAAACAGCATGGAACCCTTTGTTTTACCACGCAGAAGATTAAATAAAATAATCTGGTACTGCATGTAGAAACACCAGAATCATACATAATTATGATGTATTTACTATAAAGAACAATTAGATACAGATTAAAGAAGAGACAAAAGATGTACAGATTATACTGATTTATTTGAAACAGTACTGTTAGACTCTGTGCCAGAAATAAGATAATATGTCAGTTATATTTAAATCTGATCCAAATTACATCATAAATTACAGAACTAGGTAAAAATCCCACACAGCCTTCTCTGGAGTTCATAGTTAATTCTTATCCTGGTTTAATTTTAGTTAAGAAACACCCAAGCCTAGCTTTAGGACCTATTTTCATTTTCAGAGGTTATTCTTGTAAAATGAATACTCATAATGAATCAAGTTAAGAGTTCATTTAAACATGTGCAAACTGCATTCTTTTCACTAGTTAGTAACTAAATACATTTGGCAGTAGAGAGAAAATATTCCACACATGTGATATGGCTTCAAGGTAGATTTAACTCTGGAACTTTTTATTTTATAAACCGAGCACAGTTCTTACCTATGTTTGATCTCTCTAAGATTTAAAATAAGATATATTTTGCATTGGTTCTTTTTCCTTTTATAGATTGTACTAATAAAATTTATAGCTTGATGAGTTGTGAAATTTCTCTTGATGTACACAAGTAGATGTACTAACAGACAATGGTTTGTTAGCCACGAACAAACCAGAAAGAGAACTCATGATTGTTCTTCATTGTAACCTCTGAGTTGTTTGAATCATGAATTGTCATTTTGTGTGAGCAATTGTGGTTTCATTTGCCATGGTACAGAGATGGCAAGCAGAAGCGGCCATCTTTAAAAAGCCACTTTTCAGACTATATTCATTACTGTTTTGTCAAGTTATCCCCAACCCTTATGGCAACTTTCTGAATAAATGCCATCCAAAATGTCCTGTCCTTCATAGCCCAGCCCTGCTTAGGCTCAAGGTTGTGACTTCCTTTGTGGAATCACTCCATTGCCATAGAGGCATTTGAGAAACTGTGGGAAGGAGAAAGGAAACAACAAACCAACCCAATGTTTGAGAAAACAAATCATGTTTTGTTTGATTGCTTGCAAACCAGTCCAGCATACAGCAACAAACCATGGATTACACATTGCTTAACATAACCACAGTAAGCATTGTGTGCGAATCAGGCCGGATGGTACTTTAGAGTGTTCCAATCCATCATCCCATCATCCTGACAAAACCCTGCATCATCCCCATATTATACATGAAATGTGAGGAGATACTGAGGCTGAAAGTAACCATTGCACCAGTATAGCTGATATATCCTCAGATGTAATTTTATTATGTCCTCCAGATGTGTGGAGTCCATCCAAAGCAATCTCTGGGATTCATAAGTGGAATCACTGGATGGCCTTCGGAAGGTCTTCCCATCTGTAAAATAAAAATAATAGTAAGCTACTTCACAGAATTGTTGAATGGACAGGACAAAAAGTATGAAAATTTTTTGAAGCTCCTTTCCTCTCCTCTTCTTTTTTTAAGCCATGGGACTGCCATCATTTTTCTCGAATCAGGCTCTGCGCCAGCTAAACTGATTGGTCAGGGTCAGCCCCATAATGAAGCAGGCTGAAGCACCTGCATCAGGAGGTGGAGTGGGGGAAATGGTAAACTGCACCACTCTGGCAGACATATTCCTGCATTTCACCCACAAGTGAGGTTGCTTGGAACAGCCACTGGTCCTCTGTTTCTCATAGTATGTGTTCGAATCTCACGCCTGGGATTCCCTTCATCTGGCCATGCAGCTGTCCACAGAGCCAACAAGATGATGGCAGCGACAGTGCATGCTCTGGCCTGTCCCAGGCAGCAGGGAAGCTTGCACAAGCTGCAGCTATTCCCAGCATGGAGAGGACCATTTGTGCCTGCTTGCCAGGCAGCCAATGAAGATGAGGACATTGTCAGGACAAAGAGGTGGCAAGTCTGATTCAACACCTCAGACACAAATGGATGTTCAAACCCAAACATTTAAGAACTAAGCTGTCAAGAATTTCAGAAAGTGGCTGCAGCTAAATTCATTTTATAGAACAACATCAGCATCAACAGACGTATCTGTAATACCTTCACAATATCCTCAGCTGATGGAATTTCCCTGATCACTGTTAAAATCAGTGTAGGAAAAGCTGCTGGTGGTTGGTAAGAGAACCAAAGGACAATTCGATTGAGCTTCCCTGGGCTTTTCTTTCAGGAAGGAGCTTGCTTCAGGCAAAGCTTCAGCACAAATGTCAAGCATGCAATCTGATTGGACAAGACGCCTGTGCGTCCAGCCTCTTGCAGCTAAGGGGTAAACTGCATTTTGAAGATCTTGAGGACTGCACTACTGTTGTGGGTGGGAGTGAAAGCAGAAAGGGTGCAGCCAAAATACCCACCCACCTGAAAAAAACAACAACAAGAACAACCCTAACAACAGTATATTGCAAGTTAAAGTGGTTACTGCCTGTAAGTAAACTGTGGGAGAAGGTAATCAACCCTTTAGAATGAGAAGAAGTCAACCGCCTGAAAACCACCAAATGTTCAATGATGAAAAAATGGTGTGGCTAGAGGAACAAGTGTGGTCATTTGGGGAACTCTGGCCAGATCGGGTTCCCCAAAGTAAGTCAGACTTTGCCTGCAGGTCTCAGGCTCCACACCTCTGTGCTACATAAAGAGAAATTCATAGGCATAGTAGCAACGGATATAAATCTGTCTTCTTGGGAAATGTATGACTCCAAATTTAAATTTCCAGTGCTACTAAAGCTCCATATGCACGTGATAAAATGTGCACTGCTTTTGATACCCCTAAGTCCTTAGATATGTCCCATCATGGATGCCCTAACCACCCAGCCACCCTCAATTTCTCAGCTGTTCAACTGACTCTCCTTCCCCTGGAGATTTTCAAACAGCTTGTTCTGTCTCAGCTGTGGTTGGGTGTGCATGTGCATGGTTGCACACCCCTGAATAAAATACTGAAGTGCCATAAATTCTCCTCCCTGAAGATTTCCACCACAGAAGCATATCAGACAATTAAAAGCTTCATGCACCATAACTGAGCACCAGCTTTCTGGATCACTGATCTGCCCCACTGATGGCCAGGCCATCTGGCTGCATGTAGCCAGGGTAGGCGAACATGGTTAGTGAGTCTACTGCCAAAGGGACACTGCCAAGATGGGGTAGGCCAAAATGCAACAGAAATTATGGGGTCCATGGACATTAGAGCTTCCAGCCCATACTTGCTGTACAAGTAGGGTATATAATAGAGTGTTGCAGTATACCCCAGTCCCCTAGCAGGAATAATCCACAGGAATACTAGCCAGTCAAGCCTTCCACTTATATAAGCCTTCCTTATATGTAAGCTGCTGGGATCTCAAGCAGGCCAATTACTTTCTCTTTGTTTGTGTGTTTGTTTTTTCTCTTTTCAGCTGATATTCTACATTCAGCCTTGGATTCAATAAGCATGTCCAGTCTTTGTTAGGCTAATAATAACAACATCAATAATAAAAACTTTTGTAAACCTCAGGCTTTCCCTGAGAATGCAAATCTGTGACATCATCTTCTTTGTCAGAGGCCCAATTTGGGCTCCATTTCTTTTGGCACAGAGACTGCAAGTCCATTATTAGAAGGATTTATGCTCATGGTGAAAGGAAAACTTCTGAGCTCATATCATATTCTATTTCCATTGCTATAGAGTAGCACTGAAACATAGGAAGTGATAAATATGAGAACATTCCTGAGCATGCTGTGACCATTTTTATCACCATGATGTGCTGGCAACCAACCTTCTCATGCACATCTTAGAATCTGGTAATATACAGATTGGAAGGCATGGCTTTGAGGGAGGTGTCAGTTCCAGCTAACAAACCTATGCATTCTCCATTAACAAACGAAAACCATCCGTTTCTGTGCTAGCCATGATGTCTGTTAGCCTTTACAGCAAGGCAGGTTGAACTGCTCTCAGGCATTTCAAGGAAGTGAGAAGAAATAGAAAAAGAAGTAGTAGCCTTGTGCAGGGGTGGGGAGAGCATGAATGAGGTGGTCAGGAAAAGCCAGGGAAAAGAATATGTTGGCATGGCATGGCAACAGCTGCCATGTGGGACGTGTTGGGTACATGTGTAGACACTCCATGTGAGGCAAAGCAGTGGAGACCTGGATGTCTGCTGTAGCTTTGGACCAATTTAAAATATGGATATCTATGTCTTCCTAGAAAACTGACTGCCTCCATATAATGCCAAAGTTAGAAAGCTTTCATATGACTGGAAATAGGGCATCTGCTGTTCCTTCCAAGGTCTACTGAAATCCAGTGGTTGCCAGCATTTTGAGTTCCACAGCCACCTCTGCAGTACTGAATGTGTGCTGCTCAGAAGAAGGTAACACAGGCTATTTTCCAGCCAAAATTCTATTCTGTTAAATGCTAGGGAATCAAATCCTACTTTCTTTTAAATTGGTAGTACAATGGGCCTTTATTTCATTCAGAAAGGGATTGGCTCCAAAACAGCCTGAGTTTTCAACCTGACTTTTCCAATGTGTATTGATATTACAGTGACAACTGGTCTGACAGACCTGTAGCAGTCCTAGATTGATACTGGAAATACTGTGATCCTGTTTCTGACAACTTTCTTTTCTAGACTTCCTCACTAGAATCAATAAGCTGAGCAATGAATGTAAGTTACAGCCATGTGTAAAGCAGGAAATGAAAGGAGTTACCCTCTATGACAGGTGCTTCTGCATGTTCCCAATTATTGAGTGCATTTGAATGAGTGCATTTTCTGAAAAATTTCATGCCCTGCATGATCTCTAATCCATTTCTTTTTTAAAAAAAATCCTATTTCTGTAATACTGGGGAGAGGTCTGTATCAGAGCAGAAAAAACGTTTGCCTATCTTGCCATGTGCAGCCAGCAAAACTCGCCTTGGTTTCACATTTTTGGTGTCATCAAAGTCATTGCCAAGAGGAGAAACTGGTAGAAAGAAAGGTGCAGTTGGATGTTGGCAGCAAGGGCAACGGCCTTCCCAGTAGTAGCCTCCTGACTTTGGAATCTGCATTTTTTGATGCTGGGTTAACATATACTTCTAATGCAATTTCATAGCATTCAATGAATCTTTATTGTAACTGTTGTTTAACTGTTTAATTTTTAAAAGTCGTATGCTAAAGTTTTTATATTGTATTTTTATTGCAATTTTATTGTTTGACCATCCAAGAGAACTGTGGTTATTCAATAATATAGGAGTGGAATAAGTAAGATGAATTATTATGCAGGAGTATTCTTTGGAGATAATTCTGGGCTCTCAAAAATTCATCTGTTGTACCTTCTGTGCCACCATATGGAAAAAATCTGGGTTCAAGATCCACTTTTTCTGTGGATCATCCAGTGGCCAGGAGAAGCTACTATCAACCTAAGTCTACCAGAAGAATGATGAGATTCATATATAAACCTGCCTCATGAAACTGTTGAGAGAAAGCTGTGAGATTGTCTTGAAAAGTACGGCATTAGGAGTGAAAAAGAAAAAACAAGTTAAAAACCCAGGCAGATGACAGCAAGATGTGAACAGGATCAAGCTGTCATACTTAATCACAGACTGAACATGAGGTCCCAGCATGATGCAGCTGCCAAAATAGCAAATGCAATCTTGGGCAGCTTTAACCAAAACATAGTGTTCCGATTAGTGAAAGTGATATGCCCAATTCACCCCTTATGCAAAGTTATCAAATTAGCCATGTAATCAGGAAAAAGCAGAGTAGCCCCACCCTCCAGAGACACTATAGCTTTGCCTATAGACTTCCATGCATACTGGGTAAATGCCTGCAACAGGGAGGTATTTGCACATACGGCTTATGTGCATAGGCTTCCATGTGATTTGCAATACTTCCTGCTCGGGTAGTGAGTTTCACCACTTTGTATAAGCCTAAATGGGATTATAGTTCCACTCTGTTCTGAGCTGGCCAGAATACGTCTAGAGTACCTAGTCTGGTTCTGGGTTCCACTTATGAGAAGCACATTACCAAACTGGATTGTGTCCAAAGGAGGGTAGTGAGGGGGTGAGTGTCTAGTAACCAGCTCTGATACTTGGCAAGAGCTGGGCATGTTTCACTTGGAGAAAAGAAAGTTAAGGGGAGACAAGATAAGCATCTTCAAATATTTGAAGGGCTGTCATGCAGAAGATGGAGCAGACGAATTCTTTGTTGCCCAAGGGTGCAGGACTAATTGTGATTACAGGCTGGACAAGTGAAGATCTCCCAACAATAACACCTCCAGGACAATCTCCCCCTGCCCAACGGCACGTGCACACAGTTGCTGCTATACATGTCGCCATGGTTGAGATGTCTCCGCACTCTGTGGGGAAAGGAAAAATCTCTCGCAAGGACTAAAGGATGCTCTTGTTCGTGTCACCTGCCATTTCACAAAAG